ATACATGGTATCAGTATAGGGTTCTGGAGATGGTTGAGTTTCTTTTGGGATCCTGAATTGATCAATGTTAGACCATCATTGAAAACGTGAAAGTAATGGATAGCCGTTTCGTTCAGCTGAGGAGTCCCATATCAGGACCAAACGGCCGTCCAGTGCTTCAAATTTTTCAATGGTGGTCTAACATTAATTGGTTCATGATATCAGTGAAGTATATATGTTTACGTGTATAAGTATTTCAATGGTTAAGTATCTTCTTGCAGTTTGAATAGACACATCGAACAATCACATTCGTGAAAATAGTATGGATACCATAGGTTGAAACAAGATAAATTATGCGTAATCTGTGTTCAGCTATGAATCCATAAAACTAAATTAAATGTATTTTGTCTTGAGACCGCTGACCAATGTCATGTGATAAGTTCCCAATCAGAATCCAGATTCTTATTTAGTCTATTTTGCGTCTACAATTCTCTTCGACAGGCCAGTACACCCAGTACTCCCTTGCTTTCAGTTCAAAAGTAGCAACCGAATGAGTTTATTTGCAAACATACTGAACCACGTCATACCAAAAAATAAAAATAAAAATTATGCATAAACAAGCTGTGAATAGGGGAGATTGGAAATAGACTGGCAAGAAAATTGGAATATTAAGTAAGATGGCATTAGCTTACAGGTTAACCGAAAGTTTGTGAAAAAAGGGATACATAGACATAGTAATCTAGTTTCTTAATTATTATACAGTAAGAATATATATAGAGATAATACATAAATTAGTTTTGGTGGTTGTCATTTCATCAATCTTCGTTCTGATAATAACAAACAAGATTCCGAATCTAAACTACATCAAAATACCCAATAGTTCACTCGAATTTATTCAGATTTATGACTGAATAAATTTAAGGTAAGACTTTATTCAACAAGCCTTCATGAGCCATTAAAAGAAATAGCAGTTTCATATATTCTACTTTCTTTAGTGAAATAATAAAAAAAGATCATCTAGTGATTTAAACTATGGAAATTCCATGATCTTCATAAATCCCACTTTATTAATTTGGTTACAAACAAATGACTAGCTTCAAGATGGAACTGTGGATGTTCTATTAAGAAGTTAAGGAATAATTCACCTGTATTTAAGGTATTTAATTATCTTGAATCAAGCATTAGATTCATTCAACTTAAACACACATATATTGTACGAAATCATATGGCTTATTTCTGAACTAGTTGATTCCTTTAAATTTACAAGGTTCATAAGTGTACTGGTGTCCTGTTTGCAGTTTTAAGCAGTCTATTTTAAGACTGTATATAAATTCCAAAATGTGTTCACTTTCTTGTTTGTAAAAATACAGCATATTGCTTTACTAAGTTATGTCAGATATAAAAACAGAAATACTATAGTGATTGATATAGTTTTCCTCTTATCTGCCCTTTGAAGAAACAACAACAAAACCACACTGAGATTGATGCACTATTCATAAGATATAGTGGAAAATGTTTGAAGATTTCAACAGTTGAAAATAAGAACCCTTGAACTATACTTAAGTATATATATGACCGTACTTGTAATTGATATATTTATAGTTTGGTGTAATGTTTAACAATACGGCATATCTTCCCTTCAAATATTTACACTAACAACATATAGTATTGATATGACGGGAAGAAAAGTCAAATATCGATTGATTTACTCATTATGAGTTTTGTTCAAGATTAGTTCTGTTTTGATTCAATGTGGCGATTATTCAGTGTAGTATTCGGTTTTGTATAATATACGATATTCTTGTATTCCATTGACATGAACTATGCTGAGTATGTGCTTTGTTATAACTAAGTATCTTTTATATAAGTGATCTCATTCTAATTATTAATCAAAATGGGTGTACGACTAAGGTCATCGTCGTGTTTTGGGGGTTAATAAATCATTACTTATACCAGTCTTTGTGTTCTTACTTTCACGTTGTGGGAATTGTAGAAGTCCTTCGTTTCGAGTATAAATGATAAACGTTTCCGATACAACAATCAGCGACGACCAGATATAACAAGTAGCATCCAAACAACAAAACATATCAAGTACTATTTAAAACATTCTTGTTCTCATTAATGCAGTGTTTCTGTTTTCATAATAGAGTAAGAATGGAATAAACATGATAATTGCTTTACTAAATATCATTTCACTTCAACTGTATATCACATTTTGTAAAGCTGTCTTAGAATTCAAATGTATCCTAGTAAATAGTGAACTTTTCGGAATTTCTTCTTATGAGTATGACAGATTGAGCTACGATAAATCTTCATCAAAAAGAACTCAAGTAAATGTGATTGATTTCGTATTAAATAAAGATGGATCACATTCATATCTTATGTTTATTTTACGGAAAATATGTAGTCAAGTTTACTGTCAGAATGAAAAGTATATATTGACGTACTAATTTGCACTCACTTACGGTTAATTTATGCTTTTAAACATACACTAAATCAGGTTTTATCATATTGGTTCCAAGATTATTCATTGGATTCCTCTCAGCTTCCAACCTACTAAATCTTTATTCCCATTTTATTAAGTGTGATACTGATTTATCGGTGAGAATAATTAGATTTCCTTGTCTACTCAATTGAGGCCCGTGAGATTTGTATTAGCATTTGCATTGATCTAAACAGAAGATTGATTAGTTCGTCTATACTGTCTATCTAGTACTAATGACTTTCGGCTAACTAATAACACGCTAAATGTGAGATAGGAGGTGGGAGTAACAGTGGATGTCTATTTGTCCAGAATGAAGTTTCCCACGCTCGACCTCTTTCTCCCGGTAGCCAGAATAAAGAACTCAGTGAGTAGACGACTTCCAACTATACTGTTCACATTTATGAGTCACTCATACGATAATATAAAGCAAAGTCTTGACGATACATCGACAAGTTTAAGAAATTACAATGTGGGCATAACTGCTCCATAAATGGAAGAGGAATGATCGATACATCCGTAATAAATTAACAAAAAGGTAAGACACACAACAATAGTTTATGAATCAAGTGAAAGCTTAAAAGTAGGTGAATACAAAAGTATTATAATCTAAGTATTTAACAATTGTACAACAGAAATACTAAGAATGATTTCTGATAGAACCATTCAGAAAGTTAACTTTTGCTTAATGTTTATCTCTGCATAGCAAATACTTAAAGTTTTTACTCACTGATCGCTTTATTACAAATACTCGACTCTTAGAATTAACCAGTTAATAAATTATTTAAGCCTTTCAGTTCAGCGTATTTGGTATGGTTTTCAGAAACCCTATACGTTTACAGCTGTAATCATGTATTTTTATTTGAATGATATTTATTATCATTTACATTATTATAATTATGTCATCTGCTCTCTAAATTTGGCCAAAACAACATTTCGGTAAAACTGGGTGTTTTTCACTTCCTTGCCAAACATACTTAATGCCGTCCTATTTAACCAAGTTTTCAATAATGCATGATAATGTCCAGATAAGTCAACTTGTAAGCTTGTATAACTTACACTTTTGATTAGGACATTAAAATACGAATAAATTGTTTATAGTTAAATGGGTTTAACTATAATCTCATTTTAAATGACCCACTAACACAGTTTCTTGATGTTTGTTACATGTTCACTATGTTTGCTAATCACGTTGTAGTGAACAAGAACACGGGTGGAGACAATCAAACCTACGAAATTACGGACTATTTCAATAAAATCTGAATACCATATAGTAAATCATCAATTAGCAAAATATTAATGCATCATATCAAACTGGACTGTTTCTGTTGCAAATATCAATCCATTGTCTCCCATTCCATTGCTCATGCGTTTTCTAACAAATTGCATTGTGTTCTCGCTCTTCTTTTCTTGATTTTCCCCTCATCTTCTGCTGCCAGACATTACGTTCCTGACTCGCATAATATACTACTTACATCAATATAAGTAGCACACTCCACAATGTTACTGACTTTAGTATTCTGTTCAGTTTGTCCTTCGCTTGATGCATCCTTTTTACAATAATTTACATAATTAGTAGTATTTGGTTTTGTAGTAACTGCTCAAACGTTCATTCTTAACCCACAATTATTATTCATTCATCTAATTCAAGCATAATAATCCATCGGTGTAAATTTACTCTAAAAAATTTCTGAAAATAAAACCCAATATTAATAACTAATTCGACAAAATGAACCACTTGATCATTACATTCACTTTGAATATGTTTACTATTATAGCAGTTCAGGTGCAACTGAGTTTGTTCATATTTAATTTGGTTAAGCCGTTCTTTGTTAACTTATGTAACACGGATATAGTCATTCGTACAATAACAAGTTACATTATATCATTGTACCTTTTTTATTGTTGCACTTGTATGAATATATATGTTTGAGCATTGCTTACTGCCTATGCATATATTCATTCTGTTAGCCTTATTATTAGTCGCTTAATTGATTCGATGATTCATTCATTACCTTATGTTTATATACGTACACTTTGACTCACTCTCTGACTCGTTCATCCGACTCGCATGCTCACTCGCTTGCTTACTAGCTTTTTGGCACTAATCTTTCATGCTTACTTTACTTAGCATATCTGTAATCTTGGTTATCTGTGCGCGGTTCAGTAATAAACTTAATCAACACTTCGTATTCACCTTCTGATTAATACACCGTAGTGACGGTTATCAAGACGAACTATATACGACGTTTAAGGATTATATTGAATACCAACCACCACACTATCTTCAGGCTAAAGATGGTATATAAGTAAAATTTAAGTTGTTGTGCTTTTTTAATATGTCGATCCCCATATTTGAAATTATTAAACAAAGTATGATATATAGTTCGGTTAAGTTTATTTAACAACAAACAAAATGTTAGTTATTTTAGATGAGAAAGTTAAACATGCTTTTAATTTCTATATCTCAGTGAACTTGTAAAATAATACTCTCCTTACGAAGTAATACTCAGTATTTGAATGTTAAGAAGCCTGAGGCTTAACTAGCTATGTACTGCCTGGAAACAAAGAAAAAGTATTAAAGTAAAATAAGTTTAAATTAATTATTTTAAGAATACTGATGTGAATCATAAAAACATTCAACCATTGTCTACAACAACTAATTTGACAATGAAAATGATAACAAGGAATATGTTCCTATGAAAGATATTTTTTCATACAATTAATCTATAAATGTCTTGTATTATCACGGTTTTGCCTGGTTTTCACTCTGTCAGCACAATCTAACATAGATCTACTCTTGAATGATGATATGTTTAAATGTTTAGAAGAGTCAAACCATAACAGCTCTCCATATTGTTGAACTGTGGTGTGTTATTTATATTGACATAAGTAGTATATGGTGTTAATCGTGAACAGAAGGTCTGGTAGCAGAGAGACAAGAGGATCGAACAGTAAAGAATGGGAACAGGATTCGTTGGCAACATGAGTGTGAGGGTGTGTGAATCGGAATTTAAACAACTGCACTACTTCAGAATACTTAACTCGATATTAAAGGATTTTTTCAGTGATACATAATAGAGAAAGAAACTTATAACAAATTGTTAGACCTTTATAACCAGTTTATAAACACCGTAAATGATTATTGACATGTAGTTTTAAAGTCTTCCTATGTAACATGACACTTCAAATACCTAATTTATAAAAGACGGAAATTATATAACCGTTAAACAAGATGGTATTTTGAAATTCAAGTGAGAAGCCATGGTCAGTGGAGTTCATCCGTGTCTGTTTTGAGGTAAGTACTCACTGAAAATAATAGATGATGGTCACGTAATATCGTGAATTGGTTTAAGTTAGAAATCAAAACAGTAAGATACCGGCTAATTGGTACAGAAGTTAAAAGTTCCCGAGCTAGACCGAAGGCCCTGAGTTTGAATCTTGCGTGCGGGATCGTGGATTTTTACTGCTGTGGAGTCCCATGCTAGGATGAAACGGTCGTCCAATGATTCCAGGTTTACGATGATGGTCTACCATTGATCCATTCATGATATCAATTTAAACTAAACAATCTCCGTAACCCCTTAATAATAATTAATTTAGTATCGAACTCTTTCCATGTTACATCCCAGCAATAATTACGAATCGTAACTTTTGATAACTATTTATGGATCACTACGATACATACATTTTTATTGTGCAATTGTTAAGTAGCTAAACTATGTATATTCATATTCCTCTTATAATGAGCTTTATTTTGACCGATAGACTGTTATTATGCGATTTACCGTTCTAGGGTTATGCCCAGTCTATTAATTACAGTCTCCCATGATCATCACTTTTGGATAGATCTTGTACAAATGTCGTTTTTTATTTTATGGTGTGATGTGATCTGTTTGATTTATACATAAACCGAGTATGTTCGAAATACATGATTCATATAGCAGAGGCTGAGATCGGTGTTCTGAACTTAACAGGCAGGGCTAGGCAGGAAGAAGGACCGATAAAACCTCTAAACTGCGTCATTGGTCTGGTCGATAAATCGCTGTTCTCTAATCGGCGGTATCATTCCGTTATATATTAACAGAGCACACAGGCCACAAGTTATAACACTCCGAGAAAATCTCAAAATGTAAATAATTAAATATGATAGGATCCATTTTTCATTTTGACGATAAGTTCCAATAGTTCCAATAAAAAATTTCAAAACATGGAAATATCTTCAAGAAATAAGAACATTCAACATTATAATGAATATCTTGATAGTTTCTATCTAGTCCAATAGCTAAATGATCTTAAACATCATAAGAAAATTGTCAAAACCTTATATGACAATTAAATTATACTTCAATTGAGATCATGAACCGATTAGTGTTAGATCACTATTGAAAACCTGGAAATACTAGACATCTGTTTGGTTCTAGTATGGGACTCCCCAGCAATGTGTATCTACAATCTTGTACTCTAGACTCAAATGTTATATTAATGATTATATTTATTTCATTAAACAATTAAAAGAATCAACAGTACATGTTTGTTTAATAGGAAAACACTTGGTTTATTTCAATATGAATTACTTCGAGATGGTGGAGAAGATTTGTACCTCAGGTGGACGATTTTGATGGCTTTGAATGGTTTGGTCAATTAAACCATCCAGCTCAGAGAACAAAACTCCATCAAAATGAATTACTTCATTACATTGTCAAAACCACATTTCAAATTATAAAGTACAACATTTCTGTATGCCATTTCAATTCTATTCTTTAAATGAAATCAATTCAAATTGTATTTTATAAGAAATTATATAGTAAAATATATACTGAACTTACATTATATAACCAACCACTTGCCTATTCATATTAAACAGCACACTTCTTATATCCTTGTACTATATACTGTATTTATATTGAATGATGTTGTATTACAGGTTACGTAAATGTACCTAATATTTCTGTTAAAATTTCCGTGTCGAGTAGAGACAGGTATCTACCTCAGTACAATGGAAGGTGGTCGCGCAAATTCGTGGATTGGTTGATGTTAGACACTAACACCATTGGATGCCGGCTCAGTGGTCTAATGGTAGAGTGCTCAGGCGCGGAGCCATTAGGTCCTGGGTTCGAATCCCGCGAGGGGCGGGATCGTGGATGCGCACTGCTGAGGAGTCCCGTACAAGGACGAAACGGCCGTCCAGTGCTTCCAGTTTTCCAACGGTGGTCTAACATCAATTAATTCATGATCTCAACCAAAAATTTCCGTTTATTACTTTAATAGTGTACTGATCATATTGTAATGGTAATAATGATTGTTCTTGGCATGAATCTTTTAATTGAGTCATATTAAAAACATATTGACAATTATATACTGATTACTAGTGTTTTTATGAAATAATTAGCTTCAAATTTCAAAATGAAACCTTATTACTGTATTAATCAATGTTTATTACTTTCAAATCCACAAGAAACAATTGTCCGGTGTAGGGTCAAAGAAATGTCACTAAGCCCTAGCTAAATCATCCGGCGGTTAGGTCAGTGAATATAGAACCGATCATCAATCCTTGTCAAGGTCAAGGACGACCAACGCGCATCAGTTATTCGTACGCCATGCGGTGGTGGCCTTACTTTCGCTTGTATCTACTTTAACCAATATATTTCTGTAATAACGTCCTTTGTGTTGAACAGTCCTCAAAGCATCTGTGGTACCTTGATACATAAGGTGCTGACCGTGAGGTGTGACTTCGACGTTAGCTGGTTTGTCACACCATTCCCGTCTAACTCTAATAGGCCCCCAATCATTTTGACATAGATTATCTACGCTGGTGATGTACACTAACATTCATTTATATTATGTTTCATACGTTTTATAAAGACTAGAGAATTATGTTTAAATCTCATTATCTATACTGAAAATTTAAGAAAACTATGATGAAACTCTGACAGATACTATATATTCTAATAAGAATTTATTTTTATTAATAGTAGTATAAGAGCTTAGTCGTATTGCAAAAGTGTCACAGGCGAGACCATAACTTATAGACGAACCAATCACGTATGTGACAACAGGTCTTGGACTTTGACGCGAAATTCACTCATCTATTTGGCTAAATAGAGTTTTGGTATTGTAACTGATGAAAACTCTAAATCTAATTTCTAACCTTAACCATCAACTGTAAACCATGATTCTAATACCTCACACTGTTTTATAACCCTTATTTAGTACTGGTTATTGGGTGGACACTCATGGTCAGTCAAGCGTCGTTCAAAGGTCGTTCATGAATTATAGTCTCACCTTGTCGCATAATCATTGAGTTAAAGAATTAAAATATCTTTGGAATTCATTTGAAACTCAAATAAAAGTTTGTTCTATACTCCATAAGCTAAAAATGTCTTCCAAGCCACCGAAATCTCTGAGGTAACGTTTTTTTTATTTCAGTGTTTTGCTTGGATTTGACGTACCGATTACATAAGCAGGAGCTCTTGAGATATATATGGTTTTCGAAAACCCATAAACCCAGTGTTATTTCAATTTTATCTACTAACACTATTAATTTCAAATACCATCTATCTGATTGAAATTTTAACAATTTTATATCGCATTTAGAATAATTGGAATCATTATTTGCTTAAGTATTCTCAGTAATACTGATACAGATGGTACAAACTAAGTCTAAAAGCAAGGTCAATGGTTTCGCCTTATTTGGGACTGGTCAGCTGGATATATCTACATCCCAGTCCCAGATTGAATACCAACTCTAGGATGCAGTTACATCCAGATGACTAGTCCAAAATAGGACGAAACGCGTATCCTTAGTTCCACTACAAGCCATCATCCATCTTCGCTGATAATGCTAGTGACTTAATGTGTATATGCTAAAAGTGACTGATCAGTTGCTGTACCAAACATTAAACGGGAAGATTCAAAAAACCAATACAAAATTGAATTAGGTAATATTTTCGTTTCTTACCCAACAAGTCCAAGTATGATACTGTGATTATTCATTAGAAATATAGTGAAAAAATATCAGAATAGGTATGAAATAATTTGGGAGTTTATATTTGATATTATTGTTGTTATGCATCTTTGATTAAGAGAAGTAGTGAATTTCGTTACAAGTTTCGTTTCTTCAGTTTCTTCTTTAATATCTGCTAACAAGTCGTAACTTTGTGGTTACTCTAGATTTTTCATTATTTTTTAAAGTATTCGGAATTTGAAATTTGCTACTGAACATGGTAACATCTTCAGATGTACTAACTGGTGAGTGGTACGTTATCTTGACTAATCTAACTGATAGAATGCCATAACATTTTGTTACGCATTGACCGCTAAATCTAATCATGACAACTTATCTATTTCGTTGATTGTTATTTCTTACCGAATCATAATTGAAAACTACCACGTACAGTACGCCAGATGCTTGTGAAGCTAACCTTATATACTGGTTTCTAGATTCATAAAAATATTCTATCCTTAAACCCAGTTAAATCAGAGATACAACAAAAAAGTCACTTTTAAATCATTTAAAGTGTACATAATGAATGCTTTGATTCTTATATTTTTTCTCTATGACTTTTAGAACTCCGCCTGAATCCCTTCTACAGTTACTGCCAGTACTAAGCCTTGGTAAAGGAGTACGGTTGACCATGACGTTAACAACCCTGTCCCGTAAAAAGTGCCTTGCTAACGAATCTTAACCATTAAGAAATTATTATAACCATGACTGTCAAATTCAATAACAACCTGTAAAAACAAATACTTAAATCACAAATAGAACATGGCCAACTTACGGAGCAGTCGCTGCAGCCATCACACCACTTTAATCAAAACAAAAACTTAATGTTGAAGATAACTAAATGCAGTTTAAAATAACTGAGATTATCAATTAAGCTGGATTTCTTCAATTAGTTGACACTGTTCTTAATATATTAGTGATTTTAACACTGTTATGATTTGTAAACATTATTATTAAGATTTGATTTAATAATTTCAAACAAGTTAAGCAAGGAGGGAGATAGTTAAGAACAGGAATAACGATAAAAGTGGATGGTGGCTAGCAGTGGAATCCAGGACGCGCGTTTCATCCTGGCTAAGTGGATAACGCGATGTCGTTTGAAGTGAACGGTACTGTCTTCGAATCTCAGAGTGAACATCAACTCCGGGATGCAGATACATCCAACCGACGAAACGCGCGTCCTGGATTCAATTTCTAGTGACCATCTATCTTGGTTTATAGAGCTTATGACTTAAGGCAATATCGAGGCAGTCCACCCACGATGCACATATGCCAACAAGAGACTGATGAATTGCAGTCTTAAATAAAAATGGAAAGATACAAGCAAATAACACCAAATGAATTTTGAAATAATGATATATTTGTAAAATTTATTAATTTGTTCTTCGAAGAAGTGACCCGCATTAAATCATGAACATTAGGAATCCAAATTTTTACTCACTATGATTCCACAAATATATCATTATTTCTATTATTTTTATACTTAGTTCAGTAATTCAATAATATTTGTTTGGGAAGTATGTGGACATTGGTTCTATTCAACTAAAGCTTACATCACTACTTGATATCATTTTTTTTAAAACAAAACAAAATCAGACGGCAATCAATTACATTTACAATCTGACTTCAAAATTCTGAACAATATGACATCAGGGATCAACCAATTAAGCCGACTTGGTTGACAATTGTCTTTCAGCTGGAATCGGGATTCGACTTAAATAGAAATAATAATTTATTAAAGCTAATAACCCGACCATTTCACAGATATACAAACCACATAAGCGTTTAGAAATATTTATTGGTATAAGTACAATGACCTTTATGAGTATCTATTTTTAAAAGAAAGTAGTTAATTGATCAACTCCGCCTGGAGGAAGAAATCAGGAAGAAGCGCTGGAAGTGGATAGAACACACATTGAGGAAAGTATCAAACTGAGTTACAGGGCAAGCCCTCACTTGTAATCCCCGAAACCAAAGAAGAAGATGAAGACCAAAGAGCACATTACGTCAAGAAATCGAGTCAAACATGAGAAAAATGAAAAAAATTTGGATAGAACTAGAAAGGAAGGCCTAGAACAGAGTGGGTTAGAGAATGCTGGTCGGTGGCCTATACTCCATTTGGATTAACAGGCATAAGTAAGTAAGTTTATAAAAATGAAACAGACTAATGATTCTTTATCATGTAATGTTAACAAAGATTTATCCATGTTATAAAATCATTCAACAAAAAAAGACCTTCATTTAACATACCGTTCATCATGTGGTCTACAACAAAGACAATTGGTGACAGAATAATTAGTTTGACCATATAAAATCATTTACACAAAATAATTCAAACTCTATAAAATATATATTCAAAGATAGACTTTCTAATACTAGAAGCAAGTGATTAGTGAGTACTGTCAACTATTTATTTATTCATATACAGTAGTTGGTTGAACTAATTCTATTTGTTTATTATAGATATAAATGAACTAATTATCTGTTAAATTATCAAGCTTTATCTGTCAAATTTCACTGATTGAAATCATGAGTCAATTGAAGCTAGACCACCATGGAAAACCTAGAAGCACTGGACGGCCGTTTCGTCCTAGTATAAGACTCCTCAGCAGTGCGCATACACGATCCCGCACCACGTGAGAGTCGAACCCAGGACCTATCAGTCTTGCGCCAGGCGCTTAAATGTTCAACTGGATTGACTGTTTAGGGACCTATTTAACCTTCAATAAATGTCCTTGACTTTGAAATCGAAAAGTTTTCTCCTCTAAACAACAGAATTTCATTCTTGATAATCGTTCATTTGAGATAATTAAACTGTTAATTTGTTTGTATGGGTTTTTTAAATTTTATTGTTGATATTTAGTCTTCAACTATGGATGAGACTATAATTTATGGACGACCTTTGAGCGACGCTAAAGTGACCTTGAAACTATCCACCTAATAACTAGAACCAAATGAAGGTTATTAACCAATATAGGAAGTTAAAATTATGATTTGCAGTTGATGGTTAAGGTTAGGAACTAGATTTAGGGTTTCCATCACGAACTGACATCAGTTATAATCCCAAAACATTATTTAGCTAGATGAACGAATTAGTTTCACGCCAAAATTCGAGACTTATTACCTTATACCTGATTGGTTCGTCCATATATTATAGTCTTGCCCAACTATGTTACTACAACAAGAAGCTTACTGAAATATTATAGATAAATAATTGGTAACTCTTAAAATAACCGGATATTTATAGATGGTGTACAGAAAAACATTTCATTGTCAATTCAATACATCTGCAAAATAACTGAAAATGATATATATATTGTTTTAATTTCATGCATACTGACATTATGTAAGTACAGGTAATGTAATATATACCATGAGTTCTAGGTCTTGAAGAAATTATAATGTATTTACTTGGTGCATTAGAGTTAAATAGTCTCTATTCAAAATTTCAGTTCATTTTAATGTAAACTACTATTCAGAGATTGTTTTCAGTAAACCATTCCCTTTATAAGTCCGTATATGCCATCCTTCATTAAATCTTACTGCAATTTGATTTAAGGTCAGTTAATGGTGTAATTGCTGTGAACACATATTAGAGTAGAGGAGTTGGATAAAAACACTGATTAAAATTAATCTCCATCTGCCAGAGAAAGACATGAACACAGCCATCTTAGTTAATATTACCATCGATATCTTCAAACTAATCAAATTACAACCCAAATAAATACTGTAGTGTGTGCTACTAATGTCGACAGATATAAGTATCATGTATGTCTAGCAGCAAAAGATTAAAAAGATCAAAGAAAAGAGAACGAGAACAAAGAAAGATTAGTGTAGAAATGAAACAACAATGAAGTCTGAGATGATTGATTGACATTTTGCAAATGAAGTATCTATTGTTATCAGATTTTACTTAGTGATTCTGTAATTTTATATTCAAATACATTCGATTGTCCCCACTTGTATTCTCTGTTGAGTCGGCTTTCCGAGAACTGCAACGGAGCCTCCAGAGGCCCTAGAGGAGCCGAAGAGTCCTAGCCAATCAAAGCATGATGGAGTTTTCTAGAATGTCAACGCGGCGTGCTACCATTGGTCAGTAGCATAATGTGTCTTAGCGGATTGGCTAAAGTATGATGTTGATTTAACAAATGTTAACGTCTATAAATACCCATGTTTTCTGTACAAAAATGAACCGTGGAGTAAAGTACTTCTCGCATACTTTGCGTCTTCTCTCTCGTGTTCAAGTCACTGTATAGTTCTAGGTTAGGGGTTAAAGAATAGCTTAGGAAACGAATATAGCGTTCAATCCGCAAGACTTATTATTCTCGTTCGCTACAACACTACTAATCATCATGTAGATAAGAACATTTCATTCAAGAACCAATATCTCTATCTACATTAAAAAATAAAAATGACAAATTATGACATTCAAAAGGACTCATAAATTACTCACCTCTTACTGATAATAAAAAATATAATAATAACATATTCACCAATTAATAACTTAATATTGACAACAAATTATGTTCACTTCATTCGTAGTGGCATATGATGTTGATGCCACTTTAATGTAGGTGAATTGAGGAGAATAAAATAAACTTCCGAATTTAAGTTTTAAGCTACTAAGCACTAGGAAACAAATTCATCAAGACTAAATAACAATTTCCAAAAAAATTTGAAAAACTTCCTGTTCCCTTCATTATTATAAAATTATGACTTATTACATTACTATTGAGAGCATCATATATGAACAAGAAGATTTGCGGTATGACAAACGAACCTATTTATTTCTTATAACATTAACTCATTGATGAAGTCCTGTGGAATCGTTTTTTAAGAATATTAAAAAGGTTTTGATATTCCTTATATGTTATTAATCGATTCGGATATAATTCCAAAGGAGTGGATTTCGGTTAGTGGGATAATTCATTAACACAGTTACGTTCAATGATTATTTATAGGATCACTACTAGTGAAACAATATCAAGATGGTCATAAACAAGAAAATTACTTAACATTTGCTGAAGGTTTAGGACTCTCGTAAATAGTAACATCGAACATGCAATCAGACCTTTATATTCAGGTATCAAGATCAAATTATCAATCGTCATACATATATATACAGACTACGAAAATATTTTTGAATAACTTACGTAGCAGTTGCTGGAGCTTTAGCACTGTTGATATTAATAGCATCATATATGTGAATAATAATTCACATTCAAGTATTTTGATCAGATTAACAACAGTCAGTCATTCATGATTGGGGATGGGGTTAGTAACAACATCCCGTGCCAATCAACCTTGCTAAACAAACGCTAACCAGAGATAATCATTTAAACCAATTGAAGATCGTTATAGCAACTATCCTACAGTCAATTTGGATTATGGTTAATTTTGGTTAAGCCCCTTTCTTAAAAGACAATGTTTTTTGAACAGTAACAATTTGCATATTTCTTTGTACATTTATTATCAATAGATCATATTGATAGAATCGAGCTAAAATATTGATTGTTTAAATGTCATTCGATAATTCATCCTCCTCCCCATGTATCTATGTACTCAAATCCTATTATTAGTTTTTGCTGCCGCCTTATGCAATTTGACTATAAATATGCTTATATATTTGCTCGTATGCTCTTATTCGCCTCTCCACTTCCAGTTCGTTCGATGTGCTTATAGCTTTGTGATCTGCGCTATCAGCTAAGAAACTGTAGTTGCCGTTTCTCATTGCCCTCTGATTTCGAATACCATTGAGATTTATATTATGATGGGTAACGAGGTGAACGATTAGCGAAGTAAAGCTACTACATAATTGGTGACCCCGACGTACGAACAAGAAACAATTTTGGACGATATAATCTAATTTCGAAAATTCATCGCGTTTTGTCTCAATTTGGATTATCATCTGGATTATAATCATAGTTGATGATTTATTATATCACTATTTTAATTCATGTACGTTATCTCGCAAACATTATTGAACGTAACGATAATACTCACAATAAATAACATTTCATAAACAAATTGTATATTGGTGAACTTTAGTAAGTCCGTTATCTGTTATAAATTCTACAGTTTATTATTATCACTATTTTTGCCGAACCATTTCTCTTTGTGATATTTACATTATATTCGTGTGCCATTTAATTTTTATCATTATGTTTTCAAATAACGACACGATATACCTTCCACAAACACCGTCCATGAGGTCCATTAATTTCACTATTCCACCTTTTAAGGTCATTGACCCTCAACTTTGGTTCATTAGACTTGAAAAGTATGTTGTAGCCAACCGTGTTCACACACAGCGAGATATATTCGGTCATGCAAGCTTGCTACTTCCAAACGAAGTAACAGACAATGTGCGAGAGGTCTTAGCTAAGCGGGACGCAAAAAAAACAATACGACGTATAAAAGCAGGCAGTGATAAAAGCCGTCTCAATAACCGACCAGCAAGTTGTTGAGCAGCTGCTCAGTCAAGTGCAAATAGAAGATAGAACTCCATCACAGCTCAAAAATCATATGAGCAGCATAATTGGGGACAGAAAAGTAGATTGGAACATATTTTACCAGTTGTGGCTCCGACGACTCCCAGTAAGCGTCCAACAAGTCCCTGCAATCGAGGGTAGCGATGTAGACAAAGATAACACCGCTAAAATAGCCGATAGGATATATGAGAGAACGAGATACAAGAGTACACAAAGACATAACTTTGCAGTAGATGAAAGAATCGATGCATTACAAAAGGACATTAATGTTCTATGCCACAAACTGACGAACCTAAATCAGAACGACAGACAAAGAAGATCATTACAAAGTAGATCGAGAGATAGAAGCCGATCATGCTCTAGGAGACGCTCATCTCCTACAATATGCTTGTACCATCATACATACGGTGACAGAGCTCGCAAATGTAGATCACCATGCAAAGTTAAACGATCCCACCGGTTGTCGGTGACGGCTGCGATAATTAGCAAAGCTCCTAGAAACAATCGTTTATTTTATGTCCAGGACGGGGTAACTGGAGCTCAATTCTTAGTCGATATAGGGGCGGAAATCAGCGTAGTACCTCCAGTAAGTGAAGAGAGAAAAAACTTTAACAGGTCACTAGTGCTAAAAGCGGCGAACTAATCAAATATTAAGACATATGGCAAACGGAAGTTGTTCCTGGATTCCTGATGAGGCGCTTCATATCGCTTGGACTTTGTCATAGCTGATGCATCAGTGCCCATAATAGACATTGACTTACTACATAACTCCGATCTGCTGGTAGTCTCACGACGTCAAAGACTTATAAACGGTAGCCACACCACTGCAATAAGAGGAACACTTGCGGAATCCGCTCCCATGAATCTAGTGATAGATAATAGTCGCGGTGATCCATGTAACTCTTTGTTAACGGAGTTTCCCGAACTCGCAAAAGTAACATACAATAAAGCAGATCTCAAACACTTCATTCAGCACCATATTATAACAAACGGGCCACCAATTAACGCAAGGCCAAGAAGGTTAGACTTGAGAAGACTAAAAATAGCGTAACAAGAATTCGGCAAGCTGATGAGGCTAGGGATTGTAAGGCCTTCGTGCAGCCCGAGGGGATCCCCGTCACACATGGCCCCAAAGAAGAATAGAGGAATTAATTCTTGTGGAGACTGTTACGAACTCAACAAACAAACAGTAACCTGCAGATACCCTATACGGCACATTCTCAGTTTTACTAACAGTATGGAAAGCGCTACTGTCTTCTCAAAGATCGATCTACTTAGAGGATACTATTATATTCGTGTCGCTCCACAGAACGTACCAAATACAGCAGTAACGACCCCATTCGGGTTGTATGAATTTCTGCGCATGCCTTTCGGATTTACTGATGCAGCGCAAACCTTTTGACTATTTATCCACCAGGTCATCAGAGGTTTGCCTGGAGTATATGATTACATCGACTATTTACTAGTAGGCATCTACAGCAACTACGACAACTATTCATGCAACTACGAAAACATGACATCTCCATAAACGTTGAGAAATGTGAGTTCTGAAAGGGATCCCTACAGTTCCTAGGTCACGTAGTGACTTCCCAACGTATTGCGCCGATCTCAGCAGAAGTCAATGCCATCAGAGATTATCCGTTGCTCGACTCTCGGAAGACGTTACGACGATTTCCAGGACTATTAGATTATTACAGACGCTTTATTCCGAATTGTGTAGCGATACACCAACCGTTGACTAACGCTTAGAGGAAATGCCTGGACATTCCATCTATCAGCAGAGGCGTTACATGTATTTGAGAACGCCAAGAAGGCACTAAACAAAGAAACGACGCTAACCAGACACCATTAGCTATCATGACCAACGCATCCAATGTTTTACGACAGCTAGTAAATGGCACATGGGAACCGCTTTCATTTTTCTCGAAGAGGTTGAATCCTACACAAACGAGATACAGTACTTTGGGAAGAGAATTACTAGCAATTTACTTAGCAATAAAACATTTTCAACACATGTTAGAAGGTACAAATTTTACTAAGCACGCAGACCACAAACCACTCACGAAAGCACTAAGCGCAATCATTATGATTATTCTCCGAGGAAAACCCGACAGTTAAAATTTGTTCCCCATTTCACGTTTAATATACGACATATTAAAGGCCAAAATAACGAAGTACCTGATGCACTATCAAGAACAATGATAATCGCGCTTATTCCAAGTGGAATCGATTATCACAATTTGGCGAAGTTACAAGAGACGGACGTTGAGTTTAACAAGCTAAGATCCCATGACGCGACATAATTAGTAATCGAAGATGTTCAGTTAGATAGCGCAAAAATGACATATGAAACGTCGACAGGCCGACCGCGAATATTCATCCCGAAACCATCGCAACAGAAGGTATTTGAAAGCATGCACAACATATCGCATCCGGGAATTAAATCCACAGTGAAGCTAATCAGCGAACATGAATCGCAATATGCGTAATTGGACACAGGCATGCATGAAGTGACAAAACGTCAAAATACATCGTTATACTGGCACGGAATCCCATCATCCAGTGACAAACGGAATTGTTGAACGCCAGTATAGACAGTTAAAAGCGTCTTGTACATCTCTCATTGTTAACAACGATTGAGCTAATAAGCTTCCTTTAGTCATGTTGGATATAAGAATAACAACAAAACAAGATATAGGATGTTGTTCAGCAAAATTGGTATATAGAAATACTCTACATTTATCCGGAGAAATTTTCGCCTGAAATACTCTTGATATGATCTGCGCTACAAGCTAACAAAATGTAGTTGACGCTTCTCAATACATTCTGATTCCAAACATCGTTGAGATTTATAAATTAATGATTAACGAGATGAACGATTAGTGAACCAAAGACACTCAATCTGCTGGGGAGTCGATAAGTCTTCAACCGTAAGTGTTACGAAGCTTGATGATGAAAGCTACGATTGTTAAGAAATCACCAGATCAATGGCTCTCCTGACAACCAGGACATCAATTATTATAAGTACATGCAATGTTCGCACAATGTGGGAAACCTGATTGATCATTCAAGTATTTGTGGAATTCGGAAGATACAATCTGTCACTACTTGGCATTTGTGAAACACATTGGAAGCAATCTAAACAATAGAGATTATCTTAGGTAGGGGTGCTGTAGTAATCTGGTCATCAGAATTAAAGTGCTTTTGACACACACGGAGTTGCACTGATGATGTGCAAAGAAGCACGAAAGGCGCTTGTAGTACTAGATTCTCATGGATCGAGGATCATCGAAGCATCCTCCCAGAAACAAATAAGAAGAGGATTGCAATGAATTTCATCGGGTTTCATACGCCCACTAATGATATCAGTGAAGAGATTTGTATTCCGGTTATCGTGATCAAATTAACAATCGTTAGATATTTATACAATCTAAGAAAATATTTTTGAATAACTTACGCAGGAGGTGCTGGAGCTTTAGTACTGTTAATATTAATAGCATCATATATGTGGATAAGAATTCACATTCAAGTATTTTGATCAGATCAACAACAGTCAATCATTAATACAACCTCACATCGATCAATTCTAAGCTTACTCCCAATCCCATGCTCGGATGAGAGGCAAGGATTGGAGATGGGTCTAGTGACAACATCCCGTACCAATCAACCTGGCTAAGCAAACGCTAACCAGAAATTATCATTTAAACCGATTGAAGCTCTGTCTTAAGTGTCGAATAGTCTTCTCTCGTATGTGTTACGAAGCTTGATGATGAAAGCTACGATTGTTAAGAAATCACCAGATCAATGGCTCTCCTGACAACCAGGACATCAATTATTATAAGTACATGCAATGTTCGCACAATGTGGGAAACCTGATTGATCATTCAAGTATTTGTGGAATTCGGAAGATACAATCTGTCACTACTTGGCATTTGTGAAACACATTGGAAGCAATCTAAACAATAGAGATTATCTTAGGTAGGGGTGCTGTAGTAATCTGTTCATCAGAATTAAAGTGCTTTTGACACACACGGAGTTGCACTGATGATGTGCAAAGAAGCACGAAAGGCGCTTGTAGTACTAGATTCTCATGGATCGAGGATCATCGAAGCATCCTCCCAGAAACAAATAAGAAGAGGATTGCAATGAGTATTATCGGGTGTCAGTGGAGAGATTAGTACTTAGGTGTCGTGATCAAATTAACAATCGTTTGTAGGACGAGAATCACATTGGAAACATCGGTATTCATGCGTCATGGTCGAATGATCATCCGTCATATATGTATACAGAATACGAAAATATATTTTAAAAACTTACGGACTGGGGGGCGCGTTTTTAGCACTGTTGAATTGACAGCATCATAAATGTTATGGGTTTCAATACTCACGTACATAATCAAGGTTGAAAAACTCAAATATTAACTCCAAACACTTAATATGTAACGGTAACTTACGGAGGACCTGCAGGTTATATTTGGTTTATATTATTTAACTGACATCTGACGAAAACATATCTAAATGATCGAATCTATTCCATATGACTTTATTGTGTCAATAAATTAGGATTTCGGCTCTGTAATTATCCACGCGTGAAATAATAGACTCTGGGTTCAATTCAGGTGGTGTGTTTTGAATGAGCAATGTGAAGTAATTCCGTATACAGGTGAGATGATTTTTCAGTGTTTCCAGGTTCTTAATGATTGTCTAACTTCGACCAATTTGTGATCTGGATAACATTCGATAATCTCTACGACTCCTATACTGATAAAAACGTGTCTTTTTATCTGTAAGATGGAATGAAATGATTGTGTTGGAAATTTGGAAATAAAATGCATATTTTGTTTACTAAACTGTTTTTATTATGGATAGTTTTGATTTTACAAAGTTGACATTCATTGTTCACTGATTGAATAACTAGTGGTTAAAGCGTTGTCAAAACCCAAATACCTGTGGCATCTCCAGTACACATCTATGAGATGTTTATTTTTTGATGACCTCAAAAGAGCTTTTCGCTTCTGATTGTAATTACAAGTGACAGTTTTTTAAATAGTTCATCGACGTCTAAGTATATAATTACTTACTTACTTACTTACGTCTATTACTCCTCGTGAGGGAGCATATGCCGCCCACCAGCATTCTCCATCCAACTCTGTCCTGTGCAGTCACTTACAATTGATTCCAGTTGCTATTCATCCTTTTCATGTCTGCTTCCAGTTCTCAACGCAGTGTGTTCTCTGACCTTGCCCTTTTTCATTTTTTTTCGGGATTCCGAGTTAGGGCTTGCCTCGTGATGCGGGTTGGTGATTTCCTCAATATATGTTCTATCCACTTCCAACTTCTTTCCCTGATTTACTCATCAGCTGGAAGTTGGTTTGGTCTCTCCCACAGTAGGCTATTGCTGATGGTATCCGGCCAACGGATATTGCGTATCTTACCTAGACAACTATTTAAAAATACTTGTACCTCCTTGATTATTGTTTCAGTGGTTCTTCACGTTTCAGCTCCGTACAGTTGAAGTGTCTTGGCGTTCGTATTGAAGATTATCACTTTGATATTGGTTGACAGTTGTTTTGCGTTCCATATGTTCTTCAACTGTAGGAATGATGTCCTTGCTTTACCAATCCTTGGCTTTACGTCTGCATCCGATCCTCCTTGTTCATCGATGATGCATCCCAGGTATGCGGAAGATTCTACATCTTCAAGAGCTTCTCTATCAAATGTGACTAGGTTGATGTTGTCTGTGTTGTGTTTAAGGATCTTGCTCTTACGTTTGTGTGTACTGAGGCCTACTGATTCATAGGCTGCTGCTAAACGGGTTGTCCTCATCGGTATTTGTTCATGTGTATTGGATAGAATAGCCAGGTCATCTGAGAAGTCCAAATCTTCTAATTGATTCTGTGCTTCCCTTTGAACGTCGAGGTTTTCATGATCCAGTCGACCACCAAAAGAAAGAGGAAGGGGAAAATAAGCAGCCTTGTCTGACTCCGGCCCTCATTTGGAATGTGTCTGTCATTTGTCCTCTATGCTCGACTTTGCAGTGTAGTCCGGTGTATGAACTCCGTGTGGTGTTGACGGTCTTCTCAGGTATACCATAGTGTCGAAGAAGTTTGTATAAGGTTCTCCTATCCACACTGTCAAACGCCTTCCCATAGTCAAGGAAGTTGATGTATAGTGACGACTTCCACTCAACTGACTGTTTGACGATTATCCGTATTGTCAAGATTTGGTTTGTGCATGACCGATCCTTACGGAATCCAGTATGTTGATCTCATAGCTGAGCATCTACCGAATCTCTCATCCAGTTAATCAACAAACTGTTACGAGTGATTCTTGCTGCTAATTCAATTTCATGCAACCTTTTATCTGGTCTAGCAACACTATAGAAAACTTTCCCCGGTACTGACAGTAATGTGATGCCTCTGTAGTCCTCACAAATTTCTCAGATCTTCATTCTTTGGTATCTTGATTAGGTCTCCTTTTCTCCAGTCTGTCGGCACTTGTTTCTCCTCTCAAATCCTCCTGAATAGAACGTCAAGCATAATTGCTGTTGCTTCTATGTCTGACTTCAGTGCATCGGTTGGTATATTGTCAGGTCCTGCTGCTTTCCCGCTCTTGGCCGTACTGAGTTCTTCCGGCGTTGGTGGAGTGAGATCTATGTGGAGGTCTGTAGGTGCTGTTTCAATAACCGGTGGACTCAAAGTAGCTGGTCTTTTCAAGAGTTTCTAGAAGTGTTCGGCCCATCTTTCCATTTGTTCTTGAATCACAGTGATTGTCATGCCTTCCTTATCTCTGAACGATCTCTCTAGTTTACTATATTTCCATACTGGTTTCTTCGTTGTCATAAAGCTGTCTTATATTTCCTGCTCTTGCAGCTTCATCCTCCGACGTCGCTAGCTCTTCCATATATTTCTGCTTGTTGGCTCTAATGCTCCCCTTCACTTGCTTGTCTGCTTCAATGTATTCAACTAGTGTCATGACTTTCTCTGCTCTTGTTTGACTGCCGTAAATTGCTGTCTTCTTCTTTTCTTGAATCTTTCTCAGGGTTTCAATGGAGATCCATTCCTTATGATGATACTATTTGCGGCCCACTACCACCCGACATGTTGAAGTTGACGCTTCTTTGATACCTTCCCAGTTGTCCTCCATAGTAATTTCTTCTTTCAGTAGATCCTGAAAGGCATGGGACCTATTGTTGAGAGTTATCTTAAATTGGTTGAGTTTGTCATCATCTCGAAGGAAAGCTGTATTGGACCTTTGTAATGCTGTTTACCAAGTTGTTCAGTGTTTCTTCAAGTACAGTTTGATCTTGGCAACAACCAGGTGGTGATCTGAAGCCATACCAGCTCCTCCCTTGGTTCTCATGCCTTCTATTTTCCTCCTGAATTTTTTAGTGATACAACTATGATCTGTCTGATTCTTGGTGGTGTGATCCAGTGAGACCCATATAGCTTTGTGTATGAGTTTGTTTGGAAATATTGTACCACCGATAAACAATTTGTTGAATGCATACGCATGAGCATATCCGTCTACCACCCAGCACCAAATGGTTAAGTAAACGGTTTCACTGCCAACTTAAAAGTGCTCTACGAGTACACGAAAACGGCAACTGGCATGAAACCGTACCACTCGTTCTTTTAGGGATCAGAACGAGCTTAAAGGCAGATATCCAATGTTCCGCCGCTGAACTTGTATACGGCACGACATTGCGTCTGCTCGGAGAATTCTTCACACCACGGAGCAGACCTAATTTCGGTAAATCAGACTACGTCCATCGACTGTCTGCATTTATGCGAACGCTGTCTCCGGTGTCAACTCGAATACAACATCGACAGGTCGCTCATTCTCGAGAGTTATCTACCTGTTCACATGTTTTCATACGAGTAGAATCGGTACGCAAACCTTGGCAACAACCTTACGAAGGCCCTTTTCACGTGATCGCTCGTCACGAAAAGACCTTCAAGGTTGATCGACACGGCCGCGTCGAGATCGTCAGCATTGATCGTCTCAAACCAGCACACGTCGATGACAGTGCCCTATCTGATACCCTGAGATTCAATGCTAGACCTAATAAACCTAGCGGGATCCTTAAATCTTCTTCAGGTCCCACGCTAGATACATCTGAGACCTCATTCTCACGTCCCGGTCAACAGCACGCGTCATCTGCACCGTCTACGGACGAGACGACAGTCTCACGTCCAGATCAGCAGACCACGCCGCCTCTGACCTCGGATGAGATTGCAGGCTCACGAGATACGAACGAGACTGCTGTCTCACGTTCCGGTCGCCGAGTACGGTTACCCGTACGCTTCCGCGACTAATCGCACAGTGAACAACCGATACGGTGTAGAATTATTCCTATACTACACGCACGCTACACTCTTCTCTTTTTTGATTTTCTTTTTGTTTCCTGAGCCCACGCCCTCGACCGTCTCCGTTTGGTTCCGTCGACTTCAGTCAACTTTGGCGAAAGCTGGACTGGCCACCCATGCTCTTGTCAATGTACTCAGTCGATATTTTGGTTTCGAATGCTTGGCATACGCTTGGTCTCGAACTTGGTCGTTACGGTCGCTTCTGGTCTTTTGGCTCAACGTGGTTTCGTCCTACGTCTGCAGCGTTTCTGGTCCGCATTCCCTACGAACGCAATCTTCAGATTCTGGATACAAACCACTCTGGTGTGGCATGCTAACTCAAGCAACAAATACAGCACATCTCTCCTAGTACCGTTCTCCGAAAACGACTTTCGTTGGCAACTCGACGATCAATGATCGCTTTCCTGTTCGCCAAATATTCCGTCCTACAATCGCTCGTCAGCCGATCAGTCCCACGATTCAAACCGCTATTTATCGAAAGTGTAAACCCTTTCTAGTGGGGGAGGCTCCTGTAGTGACTCACATTTATCACGAGAACACGACTGGTTCAATAAAAACAATTATTATTATAACCAACTGTACCAATGTTTGTTTTAATGTGCTTTTGTTTGACTGTGCTAATGACAGCTATATTGTGCTTCCATTCTTATTCTTACACTTTGATTGCAGCTTCGCGCGAATTCGGATACGTTCAGTAACTAAGCTTCAATCCCGACACGATCTCGATATCGTTTTGATGCCACGAGATCGCCAGGAAATATATATATCGACTTGGTCAATTAACTGCCTTCTAATATTTGGCTTCTCGGGGATCTTATGGATTTATTTGGTTCAGTTCAACCCTAGCGTTCTGATTTATTTGGCAAGTGTTGCTTTGTAGCGGTGTTAATAGTTAAACTCAAATCGAGCCCACGCTAAATACCGTACCAATCAACCTGGCTAAGCAAACGCTAACCAGAAATTATCATTTAAA